TACTTCATCAAAATTGACATTTTGCAAATATTGATTGAAGATGATTGGTTTTTTTTCAAAATCGGAAAATATCTCCGATATATGGCATTAATTTGTATTGTATTCAGGCAACTGAAGTCATCATCAAAACTGAAAAGTAAACTTTACAGTTTTTACAGAATAACATTTTTAAGATTAAGTAAAATATATTTAGATACCAGCTGCATCTCAAATATAAAATTTCTTCAGGGGGATAACTGAATGAGTATACAAAAAAGAAATGGTAATTTAGAGCAACAACTGTTTATTTCCTTTGAATAGTTTCTTGTAAAAAGAGTAACCCCTTCATTTTTACTATTGTGGCCTTGGTCCGGTTGTTGCCTCCTTGACGCATTCTCCGTTTCCATTCTCTCTTTTACCACTTATATGGAATGTCTCTTTTTTTTTTTATATAAAATTCTTATATAAAACCAATATCTTCTATAATATTTGTAATAAAATAAATATACGTTTAAAACAAACGATCCACCTATCTATGCTTACATCCACCTCACTTTACCTCAATGGCAATGATACCACGTATCCTTAATTTTTATATCTAAGGTATAAATTGTGGAATCAAGCAAATGAATTTGAATAATGTGAGTCTTATCGGGTATATAATGTGAGTGTTTATTGCCGAATGGATGTGCCTTTTCTCTCCCAACGTTCGCCTCTTTTTTTATAAAAAAGAGGCGAAAGATACCAAAGGGATATTCAAACTCATACGTCAAAAATAAACTGACAATGCCATAGCCAAAAAAGAACAGACCAACAGACAAACAATAGTACACAAAACACAACATAGAAACTAAAGACTGAGCAATCCGAACCCCACCAAATACTGGGTATGATCTCCGGAAGGGTAAGCAGATCCTGCTCCACATGTGGCACCCGTTATGTTCTTCATGTTAGTACAAACCCGGTGATAAGTCTAATTCGGTAGGTCACATTTGGAAAATATCAGCTATCATCTGTGAAACGGATATTCCATAACGGTCAAACAACTCGTGATGGCGTCCGTAAAATCTACGAAGGGTTGATTTCAACTTCACCACTTGGAACTCTTGGTTTAATAGTTCCTTGTGTGCCGCAACCTTCTTTCAAGGAAATCATGATAGGAAATACAAGCCCTGGAATATCGTATCAACTCGGAGATATATACTCCGTAAACACGCGCTGCTTGAATGTTGCTACATAGAAATGGAAAGTTAACAATTGGGAGCTGAAATCATCTCTTTTGTTGTAAAGCTTTGTTTTCAACCGAACCTCATTATCAATTTCTAGATGTAAATCAAGATATGAGGCAGACTTAATTGTATCAGTTGTATCCTTTATTTTAAGTTCGATGGGATAAATGCGTTCAACATAGTTACCAAATGTTGAATTATTTAGCTAGAACACATCAGCTATATAGCGGAAAGTAGAGTTTAAGGATACTGATAACTTCGTTTTATTCTTCCTGAGACGTTCCTGTATGAAATCAGCCTCATATGAATAAAGGAACAAGTCGGCAAGAAGAGGGACACAGTATGTTGATAAAACATCAAACAATATTGAAATCATAAAACTTTTTTTTCAGACCTATTAAGCTAGCTGACATTGCCAGTCAAATTGAGAACAAATCAGGAAACAGCAATATGGGATTTTCAAAAGATTTTAAGGTAAAAGTTCGAATAATTCGTTATTTAAAAAAAAACACTGGTCTCAATTCCAATTCAAGGAAAGCTAACTTAACGAAAAACTTGTCAAAAGTAGGAAAATATCGTATTGCATGAGATTAGGTGATGAATCTGCTTCTTTTTGTCTTTTTTTTTTAACTATTTAGATTCAGACGTCACTGATGAGTCTTGTGAAGATGGAACACGCGTCTGGCGTACACAGTTTTGACAAATAAAGAACGAACGAAGATTTAAAGAACAACACGCCAATACAAAATTGACACATAATTAGCAATGAATTCGGGAAACGATAACTTATAGTTGATTCCGAAAATATTCGGAAGCTTGACACTTTTTGGAAATTTATTGAAATCAATTAAAACAAATCCCGGTTTGTACAGTGCGTTTGAACTGCAAGATACTTGATTTCTTTCTTCTGATATTTTTTCTTGTAATCCTTAATAGTTTAATTGTATTTGCAATCACACGTCTAGCAAATTTAAAAATGAGAACCCATGATCATGTTTAAAAAAAAATGCCTACTGAGTTTATATGTAAAGAGATTTCACCAAATAGTTTCTTTTCAAAACGTGTACCAAATCTTTGTGAGAACGTTTCGAAAGAAGATGCTAATCGATCGTCATAAAGTTATAAAATAATTATACGCAATAAAATCAGTGCGGTATGCACTAAATCTTTTAAGGATTCGGTTCATACCAGTCTATGTTGAAAAAAAGACCTTTATACTCAAGGATGTGGCATCCTCACCTCTCTATGTAAATAAAGTCAAAGTGGTAATGTTGTTTCTAAAGATCTCGGCATCGTTAACAATGAACGTCTTCGATAAGTGTTATGTAGACGAATCGCACGTCTGGCATACACTATTTTAAGCCTGATACGTTTGATGAGTTTTTAGAGGGTTGTTTTTCAAAGTCCCGATATATCAGTTTTCCCAGCCAATCAACTGGAAGAACATCTCCAGGATTCTGACGGATTTAGTTGGCGACTATGTCATAAAAATCGATAAATCGCCTACCACACCTTATGTAAAGGGATCAAAGTCGTACGATCAGTCATTCAGATGCGCATTCAAAATCTACATTGTTCGATCAACACAGATGTGGACGCCGTTTCCTCTCTCCACTACCAATATGCTGTTGTTACAAAGCTTCTGACAGTAGTATTTCTTATGCTTACATTATTATTCATGTTATTAGGAATGTTTCATATAAGAACCCGGAAGTCAAAGTAAAAAATGGTAATCCCACATATCCCCCAACAATGCCTCATTCACGACCTTCTTTCCTGTGTTATGAAATTAAAATCAAGATCTTCAATCACAATCTTAACAATTTTGCAGTAATATCAATTTTTTTACTTTTCTACACATTATACTACTGTTCATTATACTATATTCAAGGATTGAATACATTTAACAGAGATTTGCATACATTAAATGAAAAATCGTAGATATAAATTTCTTGTTTTTGGTCACGAAATATCTTACTTTGTTAAAGAATAAAACAGTAGCTGTCATTTCATGTCAAAACTATACCTTATCCTGCTAATGCAACATACTTTTTATTGCATATGAGAGCGCACTGGTCCTGGAAATTTGGTTGTACAAAAACAGGTACTTCTGATCTGAACATCAGGGCAAATGTGCCCTCCTATAAGTATTTTATATATTGTTTTTATTATTCAAAAGAAACCTTCAACAAGGGTTCTACCGTCCTTAAGCTTTCATTTGATGCCAAAATTACCCAAATATTTTACTTATTTACAAAGTTACAGCCATGCGTAGGAACTATTTTTTTTAAATATATACTATTTTTTTTTCTATGCTCTTTCTGACCGGACCCGAATTAGTGGTTCTATACCTTAAATACAACAATGATTACAAATACATGTACCCCAACGCCCAGGATGATATCATCAAAATGCTGGACGTTTTGATCTACAAAGTATTTGTTAAGTGTGGTTGGAATTCGAACGAGTACTCATTGTGCAATCCTGCTAGCCGAATTGTTTTCATATGGAGCAGAAATCATACAAAACTTTTTGAAAGAAAAATGAAAAAAAAACTTGCAAAATTCTTTAAGTTCACTTTCAGATTGTGTCCTGTCATTCAATAAACCACATTTCAGTGAGTGTTTGCATCTGATATAGTTCAGTGCTAGAGAACCTTAATTTAACGATACTACCTAATAGAGAAAGTATGCTTCATATCCTGATCTTTTCCAAGATATTGACGTAGATGGACGTCTTCAAATTGTAATTTATGGCAAACGTGACGATTGCAACTTTCCAATTGTCACCTTCCTCTTTTTCAACAGTGACATACCTTCTTTTTCATCGTATGGCGTTTACATATCTCAAGTGATACGCTACGCTCGTGCATGTTCACACTATATGGAACGTGTAGTCCCATACAGAGTACGGTCTATATCACGAATTGGTTGACCTCGTGTGTCTCGAAACAAGAGATAGATGTCTTCGCGATCTTTAGATATCTGAATATTTGTCTAATCTATTTTTTTACCTATTGTGTCGTATCCCAATTGTGACATTTTGACTTAACGTGAACTTGCATTATGGAGGTGCCCGCATACCATGGGACGTTAACCCTGACGACGCACCCGGTCTGAATCCCTTTGACAAACATGCTATTCCCTCGTTTTATATTTTTTACCATTACTTGCCTTCATATTCGACTTAGAGATTGTTACATCAGTAAACTATCGTTGTCTTAACTGATATACATTTTTAAAGAATTGAGCAAAGATTTTTCAAATTGCGGAAAAAAGAAGATAAAATACTAACAAAACTTACAAGAAAACAATGACGTCGACCAATCACCATAAAGATAAAGAGAGAAAAAAAACATAGTATTTGGTGGCACGTGCTATGTCAAAATTCTGAAGGAAATCAGGAGCTGCTTAAGCATTAGCAATATATGTTGATAACGACATTTTATTTTATCCATTGACACATGTTCCGGTGTTAATTTTGAGCAGAGATGTGGTGATATCAAGATATCGCATTCGGTTATAACAATGCATACAATGCAAGAATAACCGAACCAAAAAGTGGATAATACAGATAATCCTTAACGTGTATCTTCCTTAAAAAACCAGAGAAGCCAATTATGTATATATCTTGAAAATAAAAACCTTAAGTCAAGATTACATCCGATTGATTGATTGGGTAGTGTTTGCTTTACGTCGCATTAACGCAAAAAGCTATAATATTAGATCTGACACGCTTTCAACAACAAAGAATTTGATGTTTTGTTTATTCTGGCCAAAGTGTTTACTGCAGATAATTATATGGATATAAAAAAATTGTTTAATTTGCAGGATTTAGGATTACTTAGCCCAAAGCATGAAATGTATGAATCTCAAATTCAAGAAAACAGACCAAAGAATCGATATACCAACATTTTGCCATGTAAGTACATTCAAATTTTGTAATTGTATTTAATGTTTGATACATTGTTCATTAAATATAGTTTATATAGAACAATTTCAGTATTATTCATCTCTATATAAGTTATAAATAGCATTTAAATACTTCGTTTTATATTTCAGTTGACCATTCTATAGTAAAACTGATAGAAATTGAAGATGAGCCAGGTTCAGATTTCATTAATGCAAATTACATTCCAGTACGTAGCAAGTATCATACTATGATTAAGGACAATGAAAATATATAAATGAGAAGATAATAAATGAAAGTGACAATTACAAATATGTGTTAAGACTATCATTTCAGACGTATACAAACATGAAACACACCAACGCACACAAACACACACACACAATAGACACCAGTGAAAGATGAAGGTGCTTGTATTTGCACCATCATTGTAAACATATCCTGTTTTACTTGTATACGAACAGATAAACCACTGTTCCTTGATTGTGATTCTGAATTTTGAGCTAACTAACCTAAACGTACACAAGTTCAGCTCGAATTATCCTTTGCTGTTCATGCTTGATAAAATATATATATATATATAATTTGCATATTTACGGCATTGAAATTTTTTGCAGGGTTATAGCTCTCCAAGAGAGTACATAGCATCCCAAGGACCACTACCAGCGACTCAAGCCGACTTCTGGAGAATGGTTTGGGAGCAAAACGTCAGCATTATTGTAATGCTTACCCAATTGATGGAAAGAGGAAGGGTACATACTTCTTCAAATATTGTTTTGATTTAAATGTCAAACAACTTTATTTATATTTTTTCATGAATCTTTATTAAACCTAAATTGTCTTTGAAATGAAAAAAAGTCATCATTTTTTTCAAAACAAAATTCACAATGCTGTACATCCAGATTCACATGATGATATGTCAAAAAATGCATCCAGCCACTACAAACAAGACAAAAATATAATGATAAGAAATATTTAAAAAAAAAACGTACCTTAATCATTGTCCATTTCAGTGTTATCTATCAATATATGATGTTTGTAATGACCATACATACTCATGGTCACATACTGACACACCTCTAGATCTAAATGATATTGATATAATTGAATATCTTATTGTGTTATACTCTATTATGAACAGCAACACTTGTCCGTTTCAAGATTAAGATATTTTAGACGGGAAATTTACGACTACAGAGATGTTTTGTTCTCTATTATTAATCTTTATGCTTTTAATTTTGACTTTCCTTTGTTCTCGTCTTACGTTTCTGTAGTGTCTTTGTAGATTTTCAATGAATCTAATTAATGTATAACTATATTGTGTTATGAATTATGTTGTTCGTCCTTTGATCATTTTCCGCTTTTCGTTTTTGTCATGACATTGTCAACTGGCGTTCGACTTAAAAACTTTAATATCTTTTTTGGTATCTTTCGTTTTTTTCATAGTAAATAATTAAGTTAGGGATTTCGTAACCATAAATTACTTCAAACGCTAAGAAAATTGTTTTATAGATACAAATATTTGGTTTAGAATATTTCGCTATTGTTGAAAAGAACCTAGCAATACCCGTTAACCTCATGTTCCACAAAAAAATTCAAAGTTTGTTGACTATATTGAACACATCTATCCCATCGAACTTGAAATCAAGGATACAACAAATACAGTAAAGTCTGCCTCGATTCTTGACATTCATGTAACAATTGACAATGAAGTTGCTTTAGAACAAAACTTCACGACAAAAAAAAAATTTTTTTAATCTTACCAATTGTCAATTTTCCATTTTTTTTATGTAGCGAGATTTCAGCAGGAAATACCTATGGATTATATATTTCCTAGTTAATACGCCATCACGAGTTGGAAAACCGTTATGGAATATTTTTTTCACAGCGTACGACGGATGTATTCCAATTGTCGAAACCACAACCCCGTCCTCTTCTTCTCTAATGTGAACTACATAATTAGAATTATAACGGGTGCCACATGTTAAGCAGGATCTGTTTATCCTTCCGGAGCACCTACAGTCACTACCTGGTTTCGGTTGGGGATTATGTTGCTCAGTCTTTATATATTTAGTTTTCTTTGTTGTGTTTTTTATACGGTTGTTGGGATTTTAATCCTTTTCGTTTTTGCATTGCCTTACATTTGAGATTGAATATCTCTTTTTGTAGTTTTTGCCTCTCCTCTTTTTTTTTTTGTTACTTATTAGTGACACTTGAATACAAGCAGGTTAAAATACCAAATAAAGGACGAAGTTTAAGAGCAGTGAGGACCAAAAAATCCTAAATGTTTCCAAATACAGCTAAGCTAATGTATTCTTTGCGCAGAAATTCTTAGTATTTCGAACAACAGTGACATCTTTCTCAGTTGTTTCCTTAAATGAAATTCAAAATAAGAATATGTTACCAAATCATTCAATAATAAAGAAAAATAATCATCATTACTACAATATTTAAGCAAATTAACGAAAAACCTTTAAACATATGGAAAATCCAACGTCGGATCAGTACATTATGGGCCGAAATGATGGAGGTATACTCAAGTATTCCATAAGCTATCAGGTTAAGGTGAACAAGTTGTATCAATTTTGATTTGCTTAACACAAGGAAAATAGATACTGATAAAGATAAAAGCAATAAAAGAAGTACAATGTAGTTGCTTAGGCGTTTGGTAGTTATCCGTGATCTAGGAGTGTCAGACATGTATTTATCTTATCAACAATAGGAAATAATCCCCATAATCTGTTTCATAGAATCTTATATTTCACAGAAAAAATGTGAATTATACTGGCCTGAAGATACCAAGGAAAAAAGATTCTTTGGGGACATTATTGTAGAAGTGGAATCAGATTCATTTCTCCCAGAGTATGCACTTCGTATCATTGTGCTTCGGATGGTATGTACTATGTTTATATAAAAACTAGGTGTATGATTGCCAATGAGACAACTTTCCACCAGATACCAAATGAGGTAGAAAATTGCATGTTTTAGATAAATAACGTGCTTTTAATTGTCCTTTCATTTCAGTTGATAGTTATGACTTTTCTGCTCTCTCCACTAAACTTTCATACAATCCAATCAAACAAAAGTTTTGCTATCAAATCAAATGGTCTTTTGACTAATCGAATTATTTGCTGCGTTTCATATAAGGCCTTCTTCTGTAATACAACATACAGGTCTGCTAGATATATTTACTGTGATGAGATGGTTGAAGCTGTAGATTTTCTTCATGCTAACTTCTACATAAAATTGTTTTGGAAATGTGATATGATTGCCGATGAGACAACTATCCACCAGAGTTAAATGACGAAGACAAAAGCAATTATAGGTCACCGCACTGCATTCAACAATGATGAAATCCCATACGTTGAACTAGTTGTCAGCTATAAAAGACACCGACATGAAAAATTTGAAACAGTTTAAACGATAAAACTATCGGTATAATTCAGAACAATGCAATTTACTTAATACAATTATGACAGACATGAACCAACGACACCCACTATAAGCCCGTGAAATAGGACAGGTATATAAAAAATATGGCGGGATTAACCAAGTTTGTGAGCGTTCAATAATCCCCCTAACCTAAGACAGTGATGTCACAGCACAACATAAGATCAAACTGTAAAAATCAGTTGCAATTGACATAACCCAAATGAACAATACGAGACACAAAAACCACTAACATAGACACAAAGCACCGATATAAAGTTACTCAGCAATTTAAATAAAAAGCATAAAAAAAAAATCAACTTATCATTATCATGGCACAAATCATCAAATTTTACATACAAATATGTACTATTATATGAATGAAAGAAACCAAGAAAGCAAGTAAAAATATGAATATATATTGTTTTAATGATCACTTTGGTATCTGTCACATACCGTAATATTGACATATCTTAACCGGATACGATTCGGACTTTATTGTTTTGTATTATGATACTCTCCTGTATAGAAGGTTAATAAATATAGTTTGTTATTGTCAACATGTCTTCGTACTTATTGAACATGGTATCAGCATGAACCATCGCCCATCATAAAGAAAATAAGCCAACTGTTTATGGAAGCAATCTTAAAAGTTGCATGAAAAATCCAGCTACCGAAATTTATCACAATCATGGATGCACTATCAGGATCACATCCCAAAATGGACTTGGAAGCTACAGACCTAGTGACCGCTTGGAAATCTTTCCAACAACATACAGAATTTTGGTTCGCGGGACCTCTATCTAAAACTGCCGAAGCACAAAAATGTAACTATCTAATGATATGGATCGGAAACAAAGGTAGGGACATTTATTCAACCTGGGATCTCTCGGAAGATGACAAAAAGAAACTTGAATTGTACTATCAGAACTTTGAAAAACACGTCCGCCCTAAATCATACAAGATCTATTAACGATACAAATTTTTAAGCCGTGTACAAAAAGACATTGACACTTTCGAAGAATACCTCACCGACCTTAAAATATTGGTAAAAGATTGTGGCTATGCAACGCCATAAGAAATGGTCCGCGATGCCATTAGTTTTGGAACTTAAGACCACAAAGTTCGTGAAAAATGCATCACCGAAGGGTCTTAACTAACGTTAGAAAAAGCTATCAATTTCGCAAGAACGTATGAACTTTCTAAAGCAAAATTAAAATCTATGGAAAGCGAATATAAAACCATCAACATGTTGAACAAACAAGGATCAAGATCAAACAATTTTACATCAGGTAAAAAGTATGGCAAGCAATACACACCACAAAGGGGACCACCTAAAAATAACAAGGGGCAATCACCCAATTTCAGAATCAATGTAAAAACTGTGGAGGTAAACATGAACGTAGAAAATGCCCTGCATTTGGGAAACAGTGCAACAAGTGCCATAAATATAACCACTTTGCGTCCGTATGTCTGTCATCAAACAAATCAACAAAGAAAATGCACACTTTAGACATATGCAGTGAATCTGATGATGATGAACTTTTTGTTGCTACAATTGATGATTCAGAATTGAATACCGATGAATGGACCGAAACAATCAACGTCAACGTCGTACCAGTTAACTTTCAGCTAGACACAGGCGCAAAGTGCAACGTACTTTCCCTACACAAACTGAAAACCATTTGTTCGCATCCTATCATCACAAAACAAGTTTCACCGCTCCGTTCATATTCGGGACACATCATTGACTCTGTTGGTGTAATCAATCTTAGGTGTAGTTATAAATGCCAGGATCATGCCGTGAAATTTCACATTGTGGATCGTAATGTACAGTCCGTCATAGGTGCCAAAACATGCGAAGCGATGAAACTCCTAAAGCGCATACATTCAATTACTCATACAAGCACGCCGCAAGAAACGACAGAACCATTTTTACCAGAAAAACTGGAACAACAATATGGAGATTTGTTCACAGGCCTAGGGTGTCTACCAGGAACACATAAGATACTGTAGCACCAGTTGTACACGCACCGCGTAAGATACTCATAGCTATCAAAGACAAAGTTAAAAATGAACTTGACCGTATGGAGGACACTGGTGTAATCTTCAAACAGCAAGAACCTACACAATGGGTTAAATCCGTCATTAAACCAAACGGCAAAATTCGAATCTGTTTTGATCCACGTGATCTAAACAAGGCCATATTACGTGAACATTATCCGTTAAAAACCGTAGAAGAAGTATTCTCGCAAATGCCGAATGCTAAAGTCTTTAGTAAACTGGATGCCACCAGTGGATTTTGGCATATTCAACTAGACTAACCTAGCTCAAAGCTATGCACATTTAATACACCATTTGGACGCTATAGATTTGCTCGTTTACCTTTTGGAATAAATTCAGCATCGGAAGTACTAGTATTCCAGAAAATTGTGTCTGAAATGGTATCCGACATAGAAGGAGCAGAAGCTATAATCGACGACATTCTTATTTGGGGATCAGACCAAAAAGAACATGATATGCGTCTCAAACAAGTTCTAGACAGAGCGCGAGAATACAACTTGAAAATAAGTGCCGGAAAATGCGAAATCAGTAAATCGGAAGTAACATACGTTGGACACTGTCTAACAAGTGAAGGCGTGAAACCGGACCCAGAAAAAATCCGTGCAGTCAATAAAATGTCAAAACTGGAGTGCGTCAAGGATCTGTAAACCTTCATGGGTTTTATTCAATATCTTGGCAAGTTTATGCCAAATATGTCAACAGTCAGTACACCGTTAAGAACACTCGCAGAAAAAAAAACTGTATGGCACTGGGATGAAATACAAGAAACTAGTTTTCAAAAGTTGAAAGAATCGGCAATAAATGCACCACTGCTTCAATACTACGATCCGAACAAAACGCTTACACTCAGTTCAAAAGGACTTGGTGCTGTACTGATACAAAATCAGAAACCAGTTGCGTATGCCTCACGTGCTCTTACTCAAACACAAGAACGATATCCACAGATCGAGAAAGAAACTCTTGCAATTGTTTATGGATGTAATTAATTCCATGAGTATGTATATGGACGCCGAGTTCAAATAGATAGAGACCATAAACCGCTCCAGTCAATCTTCCTGAAACCGCTACACCAAACACCGCCTAGATTACAGAGACTTTTAATTGCATTAGAAAAGTATGATCTTAAAAGTGATTACAAACCAGGTAAAGAAATGTATCTAGCAGATCATCTCAGTCGATCGTTCATTAAGGAAACAAAGGAAGTATTAATACCTGACTTACACGTGAATGACATTCATTTGATATCACACATGCCAATTGCACCAGAAATGTATGCTAAATTTCAGTAGGCAACTGCAAATGATGAGCATCTTCAGGAATTACCAAATGTCATATTTGTTGGATGCCCAAATGAAAAATCTGAACTTTTATACTCTTTGAGGCCATATTGGACTTTCCGTGATGAACTATCAGTCATCGATGGACTATTGTACAAGTCAAAATAAGCAATTGTAACAAAAGCGCTTCAAAATGAAATGTTGGACAAAATGCATGAATCACATCTTGGGATCGTAAAGTGCAAAAGCCGTGCACGTGATGTACTTTTCTGGATCGGCATGGGACAGGACATTGAGGATAAAGTTTAATCATGTGGACTTTGCGCTCAACATCAGTCTCTTAATGCAAAGGAACCATTGTAAATGCCTGAAATACCAGAGCGACCCTGGTAGAAACTTGCCGTAGACCTATTTGAATATCAAAAACAACACTACCTACTCGTAGTTGACTACTACTCAAAATGGCCGGAAGTTATGAAACTGGACAATGAAATGAGCATGGAACACGATTGACTATTTAAAAGGACTAATGTCAAGATTAAGATATATTGACAAATTAGTTTCTGAGCATGGTCCTCAGTTTACTTCGATAGAATTCAAAAGATTTGCAACCGAATCTGGATTTAAACATACAACGAGCAGCTCACACTTTGCTCAATCAAATGGACAAGCAGAAAGAAGTGTTCAAACCGTCAAGAAGCTAATTATGAAATCGAAAGATCCACACAGAGCTCTTTTAGATTATCGAAACACACTGTTGGACATTGATCTTTCACAAGCACAATTGTTCCTAAGTCGGAGATTGAAAACTTCATTACCTACATCATTACCGCTATTGATGCCGCAAAACGTCAACAACCGTAAAATCCGCCAAAGGAAAAATAAAAATGAACTATGATAAACATTGCGGTCCTGAATTGAAACCGCTAGGACAAGGAGACTCTGTTGTTATGTACACAGATGGAAAATGAAAACCAGGACAAATAATGCAAAAACACCACACTCCTCGCTCGTATGTAGTTCAAAGGTCAGATGGCAGACGTTATAGACGAAACCGTAGGCATATAAGACCAACAGCTTACCGTGAAAACACAGTTGAACAAGAACATTACAAGAACAATCACAATACAGCCGTCCGTAAAACTTCAACTGTCTGTAACACTTCACAAACATTAGACCGCAGTGAAACCATTGCATCCGAGGAAACTGAAAGTACTGAATCATCTAAGTCACCCGTGACAAGATCTGGAAGATCAGTAAAAGTGCCAACCAAATTAAATGACTATGTAAAATAATTTTGTTGAACTGTCTAGTAGTTGCTAGGAAGCATTTAGTTAGTTTTAGTTAGTTATCAAAAAAGACAATAAATAGACTTCAAGTGAAATTGGAAAAGAGACTTTTATATAATCTAGTCAGTATTAATTTCTAGTCAAAACCATTTCAGTATTAATGTCAACTAGGTAATACTCAAATTCATTTAGTCATTAAATCATTTCATCTCATCTTTTAGAAAAAGGGGGGATGTCACTTACAATAATATTCACATATCTTAACCGGATACGATCCGGACTTTATTGTTATGTATTATGATACTCTCCTGTATAAAAGGTTAATACATATAGTTTGTTATTGTCAACATGTCTTCGTACTTATTGAACAGTATCCTTTTTTCTCAATTGTCATAGCAGTTTAGTTTTGAATGCTACATTTGTTACAAATAACCCCCAAATTTTGTTTATAAAGTAAGATAAATTTTCCATAGTTGTATATGCTTAAATCATCAGGGTGATGTCGAGAGGAGAATACGCCATTACAATTACTTAGCATGGCCGGATATGGGCACACCTAAAACATCGAACAATATGATAACTTTTGTTGATACAATAAGAAGAGAAGTGAAACCAACGACGAATGGTCCAATTCTTGTTCACTGCAGGTATTTATTTGTTCAAATTTTTTAATTCTAGTGACTTAATAAAGTAGTTAAACATAGTTGACAAACGTTAATTTGATGACCAATGATTGGATGTGGTTATTGAGTTTGAAAGTCAATTTTGACTCATCAAATTTGAAAGTTTTTATGCATTATATATATCAAAATTATATTTGTCAATTTCCCTGGCGTTGAAAAATTGAACAACATTTACAGTATGAAATGTTTTATCCAAACATTTACTTGTTAAAGTCTTATTAAGATTAGCTTTAGATATTAAATTGATATGTGGATTTCATAAAATATTTAATGATACAAGATACGGTTAGCCATGGAAAATGTTTTTACTCTGAGATCTAATTTCTAAGTGATAAACCTAACAAAATCGTGATAATTATAACAATGAACTGTACATGTCTCGTTGTTCAAACAACAGATTAAACAATCAAGTTGATATTAGATTTTAAAAGATAAAAGTATGTATAAACAACATCCATTTATTGGAAAACCTTGCCTAGATCAGTTTAGCACAGTTTTCGAATATCAAAGAAAATTCAGTCCTGATTGACAACACACTCTAAGGCAACTGCGACAAATATGTCGAACGAACATTTAAACAACAAAGATTAATTGCCAGATAACGTCTTATAGTTCTTGCACTTCAACTATGATTTTCTCATTTTCTGTATTTTGGGCAAAATTATGGTAGATAGAAAGACAATATAAATCATAAGCATTATAAGCATTACAAGTTCAACAATAAAAAAGATATTTTTGTTATGAATTACAATATAGTCTAAAATGATAAAACGGGCCGTTTTTGAAAATGCACATTAGATTCTGCTGAGCGACAGAGACTATTGTATACGTTTTAATAAATAAAAAAAAAAACATCTATGTGAGTACTGCTATTAAATATGTGTATGTTGTACTGTGGTCTTAAATAAAGGCAACAGTAGTATACCGCTGTTCCATAGTCATAAATCGATTTAACTGAAACAAATCCGGGTCATAAACCAAAACCGAGGAAAACACATCAACTATAAGAGGAAAACAACGGAACAACATAAACACTGAACTGCTACAAAAACAAACGTTTCTTACTTAATTTAGCATTTTTATCTTTTTTTATTCAAGCGTCTCTGATGAGTCTTTTGTACACGAAGCGCGTCTGGCGTACAAAATTTAACATCTTGTATCTATGATGAGTTTATATACATAAGTGTTAATCAAATTTTGTAAAACAAATAAACAACGAGAGCAACCTGGCAACAAAAACCCTTAGAAAAGACAATCAAGAGTTAAAAAATTAGATAGAAAACTCTAGAAATAGCAAAATCAACAATAAAACCTGGAGTAATCTCAGGTGCTCATCAGCACAACATAAAACGAATGTACACACTAGACAAAAGTCCTTAAGAATGAAATTGTACATTCAACTACATTCAAGGCCGTGCGCTCCAGAGAGAGTAAAAACGTAAATATTCATTTCACTACCACAGCTCAAATTTAGGCCTCCTCTGAAATTTGAAAATCCCTACTATGCATAGGCATCCTTAACTTAAAATCCGTTCAAATGTCGTTTCATCTTACCTTCTAGGAAGTGTTCTACTACATATCTTTCTTTGCTGTTAACTAATATCCTTACTTCTATTAAAGAACTCGTTATTATTTTTTGAAATTAAGCATATGCAATGATAGAATTAACTAATTTTGGAGTTCCAAAAACTCTTTGGATGTTTTGGATGAATTACGTGCTTTTGAAGGTTTGTTAAATTCAGTTGGGAGTTACAATTTTTCGACTCTGTACACTACATTACCACACAACCTTTTCAACATAACTTCTCTTAGTTAACTTAATGGTACTCTGCAAAATCTGGTTGCAGATTTATTTGCTGCAACTCATATAAAGCTTTCTTCTGTAATGCAAAAGAAAAATATGCTAGAGATACTTAATGGAACTGTGATGAGATGAATAAAGCTTTAAAATTTGCTTCTGGGCAACATCAATGTACGTTTCGGCAATAACATGTATCAACAAGTTGTGGGTATTCAAATGGGCACCGGTTGCACCCCTTTAATAGTAGACTTGTTCCAGCACAGTTTAAGGCCAAACTCAGTAAAGATTCGTCAACATTGCATTTAATTGATGAATTTAAAAACCCTTACTCTTGCCTTGTTGAAATCATTGCTTTCAATAATCAAGAATTTTCTAACTTTACTACTGAAATGTACCCAAAGGAACTTATTTGTCAATGTTAATGTAATTCCCGAATGTTAATTTTTCCCTTTTAGGACGATGATGTTCCTTTGGCCTCTTCTTACGGTGTGTAAATTTAACAACTTGTTCGCTATGCCCGTGTCTATAGTAGAGTTTCGGATTTCAATGCACGTAATATATGTATAAATGATAAATTATAAAGTCAGGGATTCCGCTACCTAAATTAATCAAAATCTTTACCAAATTCTTTCATAGTTAGAAATATTTGGTTGCGATATTCGGAAATTTAGATACGATCAGTGTAAACTAATCGATCCTTAGAACAAACTTATTTTTAAAGGTTATCAATTTAACATAGAAGTAAAATCTTCACCTCCCAGTAGTCAGCACTTTGGTTTTGACATGAATATCGATTATATGGTCATTTTTATAAATTTCCTGTTACAAAACTTTGAATATTTCGAAAAATTAAGGATTTTCTTATCCCAGGAATAGATTATCTTAGCCGTATTTGGCACAACTTTTTGGAATTTTGGGTCCTCAAGGTTCTTCAACTTTGTACTTGTTTGGCTTTATACTTATTTTGATCTGGGCGTAACTGGTGAATCTTATGTAAACGAAACGCGCGTCTGACGTATTAAATTATAATCCTGGTACCTGATAACTATTATACAGTTATGTCTGCCTCAAATGGTGACTTACATCTAAAAAGTGCCAAGGGGTCGATTTAGATCAAAGCTTTATGACAAAAGGGATGATTTTGGTTGATACGATTTTTTTGAAAGATCAACAGACGCCATCACTAGTTGGTTGACCGTTAAATAAAGGCAACAGTAGTATACCGCTTTTCAATAGTCATAATTCGATTAAGCAAAAACAAATCCGGGTAAAAAACTAAAACCGAGGGAAACACATCGACTATAAGAGGAAAACAACGGAACAACAGAAAAGATGAACTACAACAAAACCACGTCGGCTCCAACAGCGAACATAAGACATAACAAAATATCAAACTGGACTAACAAAAGAATCATCATTAATAAATACATGACTTTTGGATAAAAATACCGAGACACGTCGTATTGCAATGCAAATTCACATTCGGCAAAACAGTCATATTCGAGAATAGGTCACGTTCGGTACTAAGCAGACCAGACGACGTTGATAATAAACCACAATCTAAGACGTGATAAAAATGTCGTATAGATCAACCAATTCGTGATGGTGTCCATAAAATTTACGGATTGTCCTTTTTCATCTTTCCTTCTCATAACTCTGTTGGAGCAGTTTCTGCGTAAGGAGCACACTCCTGTATATGAAGTCCGTATAGTGTGAACATGCACAAGCATAACGTATCAACTGAGATATGTAAACACCATACGACGGGACAGAGGGTATGTTACTGCTGAGAAATGGGAAATTGATAATTGGGAAGTTGAAATCAACCCGTTTGTCATAGATTTTAGTCTATATCGTTAAGATATATATGATGCCCCAATTGTTGTAAACACAATACCGTCCTGTTTTCCTCGATTGTAACATCCCCAAATACATTGAACTCCGGATTTGTTCTTCCGCCAACAAACCGACGGATGTCAAATGTTGAACAGAAACAGCTTACACTTCCGGAAACTGAGTTAACCCCGGCTTTTGATGGGGTTCTTGTCACCCAATCTTTAGTTTTCTATGTAGTGTTGTGTAGCCCTGTGCGTCTTTTCGTAGTTTTTTTTTACATAGTCTTGTCAGAATTATATCGGCTTATGAGTGTCGGTCTACCATCTGGTTGTTGTCTCGCCTTGACGGAGACAAAAAGCAAGACATAGGTATGCTGTTTCCGGCGTCTACGGCGGCGGAGGTGTCAACAATGTATTAGTTTGTGATTAGGTATAGTTTATGGTGAGCCACTTGTGGTAGGTTAATGATATTTGGTATGCATTTGTATTAGCATTTGTACATCTCATTACCATGGAGATTATTTGGCCCCACCCCCTCAGTCATGGTGTATTGACTTTGAAACTTTGCTTAGTTCATGTTTTAGTTTGTGATTAGGTCAGTTTAAGGGGAACCATTAGTTATTGGTCAATGATAGTTGGTATGCAGTTGTATAAGCATTAGCACATCTCATTTCAATGGAGAATATTTGGACCTTACCCCTGAGTCATTTTTTTTGTTGCTTAGTTTAAATGTATTAGTTTGTGATTATGTCAGTTAAAGATGAACCACTAATGTTAAGTCAATAATATTTGGTATGCAAATGTATTGGCATTTGCAAGTTTCATTCCCATGGAGATTATATTACCCACTCTCTCATTATGGGTCAATGACTTTGCAAATTCTACATAGTTTACAAGTTTATGTTTGTGTTTAGGTATGTTTTGAAGGGAACGACTTATGAAAAGTCAATGGTATTTGGTATGCAGTTGTATAAGCATTGCTACATCTCATTTCCATGGAGAAATTTTTTAGCCCTGTACCTTTAGTCATGGTTCATTGACTTTGAATATTTGCATAACTTACATGTTAAAGTATTCTTATTTAAATTCAACATTTGCATTATCAGAACAACAAATAGGCGAGACATATCTCTGTGTGAACAGTTTATGTTTTAGACCTTTCGTTACCAAATAACAATGTAGGATGACTCGCAATTTCCAGTGTAACGGGCTACTTTCATTTAACGCATGATCAGTTAAGCACATAAGTTAACAGGTATGACTAAACCTGACCTATATATTACCTTGTAAGCCCATTAACCCAACATAAAGCACAAAACACTTCGTTC